CCACCCTTGATGATTTTGAGTCAATAGAACTGCACTGGAATGCAAGTACCATCAACATTAATTTAAATTTGTCAATTACCAAGAATTCTAAATAACACAATCCAAATTTGTAAGTTTTTTACTGTCATCTGGGTTTTTTTTGTTGTTTTTTTTTTAAGAGACCTGCTCTGTCACCCATGCCTAAGTGCAGTGGCATGATTCATGATCGTAGCTCACTGCAGCCTTGAGCTCCTGGACTCAAGCAATCCTCCCACCTCAGCCTACCACGTAGCTGGGACTATAGACATGCATCACCACGCCCAGCTTTTTTTTTTTTCTTTCTTATAGAGGCAGAGTCTCATCATGTTGCTCAAGCAGGTCTTGAACTCCTGACCTCAAGCAATCCTACTGTCTCAGGCTCCCAACATGTTGGAATTACAGGTGTGATCCTTTGTGCTTGGCCTGCATTGCTATTTCCTTTTTCTAAATTTTCTTCAGTATTTCAGCAGATAGCAGGCACACAGTAAATGTTTGCTCAAGGTTTTTAATTGAATGACTGTATAAGATTACTGAAAAAATAGCAGAAAATACGTTTTTAAAAACAAAAATAGTGAGAACACATTCATTAATATTACTTAAATACCAAAACGATTTAAACAGTAAATAATGAAATGGAAATAATTTTATACAATCTGAAAAGGAAATGTAGTAGTTCATACATGCAATATACCCTCACCATATAGAATGTCCTTTCCCTATTACATACGGAGTTTATGTATTAAGCACTAAAACTTTGGAATAATAAAAGACTATATTCATATTTGGTAACTTATTTAACCAGAATTGGTTTCCAACGTATATAAATAGATTGAATTTACTCTGTATGAAAAATTGTATTATCTAAAACTTCACAGAGAAAACAGAAAAACTCCACAATAAGTGTTCAGGTCTGCTAAGCAGTATTTTAAAATCTAAGCATAGGCATGAAAATGAGTGTAGGCATGAAAAATAAATTTCATTGTCACAGTAGTAATAGCTGAACTGGTCAATAAGTAAATCTTGTTTTAGAGGTGGTTGTTTCATAGCCCCACATTGTTGGAGTGATATGTTGGAATACTGGTCATAGAATTCCCCATGGTACTGATGGTAGATACAGAATCTGGTATAGGAATGATAATAGTAGGTATTAGGATTTAATTTGTAGGTATACTAGCCACAGTTGCCCTAGACTAGGTCATTAGAAAGTTGCCATTTTTGTCAAGTGAGAGTAGTAATCTGACTTAGTAAATTAACTAGAAAAATTTATAGTTCCTGATTTATGAATAAGTAGTGAATGGCATTGAATAACATGCCAATAGAAATTGTAATGCTTGTAGAGTTCAGTGATAGGGTATTAAAATGTTCAGTAAAGTTTTGTCTGTTGTAGGAGTACATACAGTAGAACTGTGGTGGTCTCTATTGTGAAATTTAAGTAGATGTTATGGGAGTAGCACATTTTGATGATGTGACATGGTTGATGTGGCTATAAATGGACTTTTTTGAAAAGGCAGTGGAAGAACTGGCAATACTGTGTTAGCAGATTATGTATAAACTGTAGTTGCATTTTCTATTAACAGGTAATGATGCTTATGAAGATTGTAAATTGAGCTGATATTGCTAGGGAGTTATGATCAAAGGGTCAGTTGAGTTAGTAGTGTATATGTTGGTTTTCATTTAGTTGAGTTGGTGGCAGTGGAGGTTAAAGATGATGTTTTAGTTGTATCAGAAAACAGAATAGATTCAGTAACTGAGTTGGAGGTAGCTATTGTGAGGGCTGTAAATTCAATTGAAGTGAAGGTAGCAGTGTCTGATGATTTTGTTAAAGTAATAGTAATTTGTAGGTTCATTTGATATGAAAGTAATTCAGGGCTGAGCTAAAGTTGTTGGATGATTTATGCAGTTGTAGCTTCAACTTAAGTATGAATTTTGGCCACTGTGGATACCAATGAGTGAGACTGTTATCAGAGGAAGTGCTGCAGTTGTAATCTTATGATAGTAGATTCAGTAAAAGTTACGATGGTCATAGACTTAGTTAATATGAACCTACTTCTCATGGCTGTGGCCTCAATTGAAAAGATAATTGTGGTCATGGTAATGTATTCAGTTGAAGGAACGAAGCTTAGAGTTACAGTGACAAGTTTGGATTAAAAGATTTGGACTCACAATTATGCTGACAGATTCAGATGAAGTCCTACCAGTAGGGTAGTAACACTAACTTCAGTTAAAGCAGCAGCTGATTTTGTGGTTATTAGTTTACTTAAAATGGAGCACTACTATCTGTGTCTACAGACTCATTAGATGAGGTGCATGTTGCTGTTCTGGTAAGTTCAGCTGAAGTGCCATACCTGGTTGTATGGTTTGTGGTTAAACTGAAGGAATGGCTGCTGTTGTGATAATTGGTTGTTTTGAAGCAATTGTCCTGGCTCTTATACATACAGCCTAGTGGAAATGCTGCCTATGATTACTATGATAATGATCATAGTCAAAATGGTGGCTATTTCTGTTTTGCAGGTTTAGTTCAGTCAAAATGCTGGCTGCTGTTGGAGTAGTGGGTTCAGTAGAAGTAGTAATGGAGAATTTTGTGGTTGTAGCCTGAGTGGGAATGTCTGTGGTTGCTGTGGTGGTCAGTTCAGGTGAGCTGGTGGTTGCAGTTGTGATTGAAGATTCAGTAGAAGCAGAAGTTGGGATCATTGTGATTGATGGCTAAGTGGAAGTCCCTGAAGTTGTTGTACTAGTCTGTTCAATGGGCATCATGGCTGCTATTGTGGTTGTCAACTCAGTGACAGTAGTGGTAATTTTGGTTGTACCCTCCGTGGAAGTACCAGCAGTCATTGCAGTAGTCTGTTTAGTTTCGGTGCTAGTTGCTATTGTGGTTGTGGGTACAGTAGAAGGGAGAGTGGTGGCTGTTGTAGTTGTAGCCACAGTGGAAGGGCCTGACATTATTGTGGCAGTTGTTTCAATGGTGTTTCTGGTTACTACTGGTGTCGTAGATTAAATAGAGGAGGTAGTAGTGCTCACCATGATGGTAGTCTCAGTAAAAGTTCTGGCAGTTAGATGGCTGGTTGGATTGAAGTGGTGACTTCTGAGGAAGAGTAGTGGTGACCAGTGTGGTTGAAGACTCAGTAGAAGTTGCTGCACTTATTGTGTCAGGCTATTAACTTTCAGGGCTGGCTGTTGTAGTGCTGGGCTCAGCAGAGATGGTAGTGGTCCTAAGTGTGGTAGCAGTATCAGAGGAAGTGCTGCAGTTGTGGAAGACTGTTCAGTTGTAGTTCATGCTGTTGTTGTGGCTGTGGGTTCTGTAGAGGTGGCAGTGGTGACTGTGGGGGTTGTAGCTTCAGTGGAAGTGCCTATAGTTATGGTGGCAGACTGTTCAACTGCAGTGCTGGTTATGTTGTGGTTGTGGGTTCAGTAGAGGTGGCAGTGGTGGTTGTGGTGGTTGTAGTCTCAGGGCAAGTGCCTGCAGTAGTTGTGGCAGACTGTTCAGTTATAGTGCTGGCTGTTATAATGGTGGTGGGTTCAGTAGAGGTGGCAGTGGTGGCTGTGGTGGTTGTAGCCTCAGTGGAAGTGCCTGCAGTAGTTGTGGCAGACTGTTCAGTTGTAGTGCTGGCTGTTGTGGTTATAGGTTCAGTAGAGGTGACAGTGGTGTGGTGGCTGTAGCCTCAGTGGATGTGCCAGCAGTTATTGTGGCAAACTGTTCAGTTGCAGTGCTGGCTGTTTTTGTGATGGTGGGTTCAGTAGAGGTGGCAGTGGTGGTGGCTGTGGTTGTAGCCTCAGTGGAAGTTCCTGTAGTTGTGGTGGCAGACTGTTCAGCTGTAGCACTGGCTACTGTTGTTGTGGTGGGTTCAGTAGAGGTGGTAATGGTGGTGGTTGTGACTGTAGTCTCAGTAGAAGTGACAGCAGATGTCGTGGCCAACTGTTCAGTTGTAGTGTCAACTGTTGTTGTGGGGATGGGTTCAGTAGAGGAGACAGTGCTGGCTGCAGTGGTTGTAGTCACAGTGGAGGTACCTGTACTTGTGGTGGCAGATTGTTCAGTTGCAGAGCTGGCTGTCATTGTGGTGGTAGGTTCAGTAGAGGTGGTAGTGATGGTGGCTGTGGTTGTAGCCTCAGTGAAAGTACCTGCAGTTGTGGTGGCAGACTGTTCAGTTGTAGTGCTGGCTGTTGTTGCAGTGGTGGGTTCAGTAGAGGTGGTAGTCATGGTGGCTGTGGTTGTGGCATCAGTGGAAGTACCTGCAATTGTGGTAGCAGACTGTTCAGTTGTAGGGCTGGCTACTGTTGTTGTGGTGGGTTCAGTAGATGTGGTAGTGGTGGTGGTTGTGATTGTACTCTCAGTGGAAGTGCCAGCAGTTGTGGTGGCAGACTGTTCGGTTGTAGTGTCAACTGTTGTTGTGGGGATGGGTTCAGTTGAGGTGGTGGTGGTGATGGTCGTGGTCATAGCCTCAGTGGAGGTACCTGCAGTTGTGGTGGCAGACTGTCCAGTTGTAGTTCTGGCTGTTGTTGTGGTGGTGGGTTCAGTAGAGGTGGTAGTGGTGGT